GAGTGAAACTGTTTAATCGGTCGAAGTTTTGAGAATTAGAGTGTTGCTAGTTTGGTTCATTAAAGTTTCTTAGGATCAGATTGCTATCTAAGTCAGTCCTTTTATTATTTTTTTTTTTTAATTTATCCTTTCTTCAAAATTATGGCAAACTAGTCATTTACTTATTAGTCGAACTACCGAATCGGTGGCGTTGGAATGTTTTATATTAGAGAGCTGCGAAAAGTCAACGCATATGGCTATATTGGTATGATATATCATCGATAGTGTAATTTGTTAGGATCGATTGTCGGTAATCTCATGTTCGCGATCTGACTTCTTTAATAGACATTGTGGTATCTTCAGGCTTATCGTTCGGATTTATCGGCTAATCCGTTTTCACCTGCGTTCACAGTTTGTAAGCGTGTCTTGAATAAATGCCAGGCGATAGTTTTTGGCGAAGTTCAAAATGAAGAAGATAAAGGTGAATCACCACGGGAATCATCACCACGAAGAGTTCGCGAGAATACTTTCCCGGCATTGGTTGGGATCGGCGCGATGTTGGCTGGCATCGCTGCGCCAATGCTAACCGGAAGTGCGGGTCAAATTGCCATAGCACAAGGAAGGAAAATTAGGAACATTAATATTTCGACGGGTAGACAACTCGAAAGAAGGCGGACTCATACTGGAACAGTTCGTACTTTGAAACAGTCGGACACTTCTAATGAAGATACATTAAATGAAAGTATTGACCAGCATCAATCTGAGAATTCAAATAATCCCGAAATAAAAAATGCAAATATTATTGAGAGCGAAGGTCAGGGGGCAAACGAAAAACTAACGGAAACACATATCAAACCAGTATTACCCGAAATTCAAATTGAAGCAGCAAACACTGAAAGTGAATCTTCAAAAATTAATGGACAATCGGTACCGAAATTTATTAGAGGTCACAAAAAGAGCTCTTCTTCACAATCGTCGTCGTCATCTCTTCCGAATCGTCGCAATGGAGTCAACAATACCGCATTTACGTCGCCATCACTTGATGACTTACATAAAGGCAATGCATTTTCATTAGAGCGTTTCATGAAAAAAGAAAAACAACGTTCTCAATCGGCGGATTTTCATTCACCCACAGGTGTCGAACACGAAGATGACGACGAAGACGAAGACGACAATGATGACATCTCGTTATATCGCATGTCAAATGAAACATCAGAAAATATGTTGTTAGATGAACTAGAAGAATCCTGTCCAGATAGACAAAGACGTCTTCTGAGAGGAAATTACTTTCATTCCGAAATGCAATTCTTATTAGCCTTACAGGATATTTCAACCAGATTAATAATTGTTCCTAGGGAAGCAAGGCAGAGTACGCTCAGAGCAGAATTGACCTTACTAAATCATAATTTGCCGGCTGAAATCTGTATACCGCTTTGGTGTCCAGCAACAGCAGAAAATCCATATCACCATCGAGTGGTCAGGATATCTCCGGTTGACGCGGTGGTTCTAAATTCAGCTGACAGGGTATATTGTGTCTTTTCTTTGAATGAGATTTCAAGGTGACCTATGCTAATTCTAATTTGAACATTAGGTTCCATATTTGTTGATGGTGGAAGTTCTTGAAGGAGAGATTAGCTTTGATATGTCGAAGTTGCAGGCGCAGAAATCGATGAAACGGCTTCTCCACGAAGAGAAGCGTAAAAGGAAATCGGTTGATACGTCAGTTTCCACAGATTTACCTAAGCAGGAGGAAAACAATGTTGAATCGACTGTCGAAAATTCTGAGGAAACCACGATTAACATAAACATTAAAGATGTAGAGAAATCACATATAGTCGATAGACCAAGTGATTTTATAGACAATAATGAAGGTATTGGTGTGAAGGCGGCTGTAGATGATGATGGCAATTTTACAAATGTCAATATCGATGATAGAAAAAAAAAAACAGACAATAATAATGAGAAGCCTATAAACCTTACTGCTCCAAAAACTGCTCTTCCTAGAAGTATGTATTTGTCTTCAAGGTCTTCGAAGAGAACAACGTCAATTGATAAGCTACCAACTATGCCCTCATTTTCATTAACACCTGTCGATGAGATAAATGCGCAGCACGCCACGCAAACTGATAAAGAGTCGAAAGCCATCGATGTTTCATCTCAACATTCTGCCGATAAATCGTCTGCCCCGTATACCCCTACCACGCCAACATTGCCAGAGTCAAACAGTCGATATTTGAAACAAGTCATCAATCGGAGACAGTCTAACTCGGCCGACGAATTTGCTGAAAGAATGCGAACGGCGGCCGTGATGCTTGCACAATTGAATGCAGCACAACAGGTGCGTACATCGTCCACAGGCGAGACCATACAAAGAACGAAGGCAGACACGGAGGCAATACGACGAAAGATAATTAGCGAGATGATGTGTCTGGAAGAGGAGAGGATGACAAAGATGAAAACCCAAGGTGTTCTTAGTGTTGTTGGCGCAAATGGTGGTGAGGGTGGAGGTGGTGAAATGTTAGAAGATGAGATACGTGTTCTGAACGCCGTCAACAAGGATGACCCCAGCGGTAAGGTTTTCTTTTAATTGCTATTTGGGCAGATTCTTCTATGATGCCTCTATGATGCCTCTATGATGCCGTCCCATTAATTAATTAATTGATACTATCACACAGCGGCCGTATTCAGCGAAGAATGGGAAACGAAAAAAGAGCGCATTCGTAAATCATCGCCTTTCGGGTCTTATACAAACTGGCGCCTCTTGTCGGTCATAGTCAAAACAGGGGCTGATTTGCGTCAAGAGCAATTGGCGTGTCAACTAATTCGCGAAATGCAAAGAATATGGCAGAAAGCGGACATCAATGTATGGGTTAGATAGTAAGTGAATCCATCGGAAAATTACTGTGAGGATTCTATTTTAGTGTCCGTTTATCCATTATTCCATTCCTTTACATTAGCTATCGGGTGCTCGTCACTTCTGATAATTCTGGGTTGATAGAAACGATTCAAAATTCAATTTCCATCCATTCCATCAAAAAAGATGCCTATGCAAAAAGGTTAAATGAAAAGGGATTCATGTTCACCCTGTTTGACTATTTTGTGAAGGTTGGACTGCACTTTTGAAAATTGTTCCTATTGTTATTCATATTTATACCGGGGTTTACTTATTTTTACTTTATTTTTTTTTATTTTTTTTTTTTT